TCCAGTGCAGAATTCAAGGAAACATGCTAATTGTGCAATAAGCACAACATGTGCTGTGTAGGTGCATGTGGCTTGGGTACTCAGAAGGCAGTGATCCTAAACCACCACATCCTCTGGATTTCTCTGTCATTCTGCCATACATATGGGGAAACAAGATTGTGCAGCCACGCATGGGTATTCTGTAAATTCAAGTGGCAAAGGATGCAACTCAGGTTCACAAGCACTTTCTACACCACATATCTGTCACTTTGCCTGAATGTGAACAGGCACTTTTATTCTAGAGAATCCTGCAAGACCCCCTCATTAAAACCACTCCTTTTTTGTAATTCATTGAGTTGACAATATTGGGAAACTGCCTACCTCAGTGAGAGCCCCGTACAAGGCCTGGTTTATTAGACTGCAGTAAATTGCTGAACCTTTAAACTGGCAGGGATATGGAGCTATAGGGAACCGCAGGAAGCTGACGATACAGACGTGCTGTGGGGGTCTTAAGAATGTAGCCCAGGAGGGGATATTTACTGTCCTAATCCTAATTGAGAAAGACAACAGAATCTGAAAAAACTGAATGTCTTCCTAAATAAAGGCGACGCATTAGTAGGCTCAGACCGAATCGGCAGACTTTTCACATTTCTTTTGGCAGAAAAATCTACAGAATATATTTAAAGCAGCTGTGTGTACCCAGATAGTGCACGTACGTCTGCAAGATGTCTGTTAAAGATCGCTTCATCTGGAAAGCATCTGCTGTACAAACATCTGATAGACATTTTTAAGATGTCAGTTTTACATACATTCTAAAAGACATTTTCTAAATAGGAATAGCACACGTACATCACAGAGATGTCTATTTGACGTCTGCATTTACATCTGCAAAGCGAGTGTTTGCTCATCTGCAATACGTCTATAGGACACTTCTCATCAGATGTCAAATAGACGTTTAGAATATGTATTTGAGATGTTTATGATTTATAATGTAAAACTGACATCTTACAAATGTCTATCAGATATTTGTACACGGCAGATGCTTTCCAGATGAAGCGATCTTTAACAGACATCTTGCAGACCTTCGTGTGCTATCTGGGATCAGGGTATCAAGTGCACTCAATCCCATAATGCACAGCAATAATGAGTGTACAGCCGATGTACACTCAACAGCTAGAAAATACCCATAATGTAGTGAGAGGGTCGTGCCACTCAAAAGATTGCCTGCAGCTGACTCACTCATCCATCCTTTTTCCAAACCGCTGCTCCACCAGAGTAATATCATACAGGTATAAATTTAGTTTTAATTGATTATTAAATATTTTAATTAAGGTTTATACATGCTAGTTTGGAGCTGGAGCTGTAAGTTTGCTAAGTTTCAAATGATTATTAAACAGCAAGCACAAAGAAAAACATCAGCCCTTCCAGCACACTCTGTCCGAATTCGCTCACTTGTTTTTATAATAGTGAATGAGGGCATGTGGGCGATTTGGAACACAGCACAGGTGCATATGTTGCTGCCATAAAGCAATCTGCCCTTTTCGATTGACAATTTCGTACACGCTCGCTGAACAGACATTTGGGGGGAGTGTGGGAAAGAAACAGTCAGTGTACCATTAGAATGAGTTTGAAACTGATATTTCAAGGTAAAAAAAAAATGTACATACAGTTGCTTAAACATGGGAAACATGTTTTTGTGGTAGCTAAAAAATTCATTTTAAAAAACATTCAAGGGGACATGTGGAGCTTTTGGTGGTGTTCTTACCAGAAATATATTAGTGATATTTTACTGTAACATTATTCTCACGTTTTTACTGCTATGATGTGCATAAACCTAGCGGCAAATATGCTTAAGTTTCAGTAATTATGTCAGCTTCCACAATAACCTTACACACTTCTATGACAGTTGCAATATACTTTTACAGTCTGAAAGGTGGTGCTGCCATCTAGTGGTCAGTAGCCTGGGTGTATGTGAACTCCTAAGTCACTTACATTGCAAGAGCCTTTGATTTCTCGTTCAAGAAAGCTGAAGGCACGAGATCATGACAGACATTAACATTTTATTGTGAGAAACATGAACATTATTCATTCCATCGAGAGCTCTTAAGTCAGTCTCCCATGATCCTTAGTAGATGATCATCTGCTCAACTTGCATTTTACAAATGACATATACAACTTCTTTTTTACTCCAACTAATACAGAAAACACTCATCCTCACACTCAATGTTAAGATCATTTTTATACTTCGTAGCATGTTCAAATTCAAGTTTAGGTTTGTTTTCCCTGCCACATATTATGTGGACTTTAAGGCAGAGCTTCACAAAGAATTATCTTTCGCCCGATCACATAAGACTGAAATGAGGAAGGTTATCCAAGAACACATGATTGTCTGAATATGGAGCAAAATAATGGTAATGTAGGCCACCAGCACCACACCTCCAATGTAAAATTCAATTATTATTTACCTTAACTATTGAATATATTCATTTTAATCTCCTGTTATCAAATTGTAGACTTATAGACTTCACCATACCAGATTTACATAATCTATCAAAGAATATCCTTCGGACTGGACGTGTCAGACTGTAAAACTTTTTAAATGCTTTGGAGAGAATTTTTTATAGTTGAAAAGCATGTTTTAAAGGGAAGCATCATAAATAGAATCTGCATACAAAACAATGAGAGACATTTCATCACAATTCCCATCGTTTTCCTTACTGCTTTGATACTATAAACCCTGCATTTCAACCACTGTAATGCACTTGTGTACCACAAATGTACTGTAAACACTATTTCTACAAACCTTTTGATCATGGTAGCCCACTATATGCATTATATGCCTTTGTGAAGTCAGCATGTTACCATGACTTTTCACTACAAACAGTAGATCACACATGAACTCACTTCTGTTGTCTGTTTACTCAGCTTTCAGATTACCAAGTGATTTGAAGAATCGTCTAAACCTCTGATCCTTTAACCTAATGCAGTACAAAAAAAGTTGACCCTATTTCAATAATACAAGACTTTCTTGATTGTTTTTCACCTTAGCAAAGTCACATATTCAGTTTCTGACCTATAACCCTTATATTTTATTATCTATCCATGATTCATGTCAGCTTATCACCTTACTGCCTTATAAGTTCACACTTTAAATGACTGTACTGTCAGGTGAGTTCTTACCCCTTTCCTTCAAAGGTCATATGCCTGCTATGAGATATGTATGACTTTAGTTTCTTTATTGCAATATTGAAACCAATAAAGCAGCCAATACATATTTAAAGAGGGTTGCAAAGGAAATTATGATTATAAATATGTAGGTAAAAGACAAGGATGTTTGCATGTATTTTCTCTATTACTGACTAGAATTTCAGTGTGTCCGTTCTAGTCACCAACTCAAAATCTTTCTCACCATTCAAGACACCATTTAGTTCTCCAACCTTTCTCGAGTTATTAAGGCCCAAAGAGCATTTCACTCCCATGTCTATCTGTGGTTACACCCTACAGTGTTTTCTCTTGGGAGGCTCATTACTCACTGCACAAACACAAAGGCCAGCCAAACTCCAGCACTGTGCTTTACTGTTCATATGATCTCTGGCATACAACTGGAACAGATATTAATGTTCCCGGACACATGTAAAGGCATTTAGGCTAAATGCATTTCAAGATAAACGTATATATATGGCTTCCCTGCAGTCTCGGGTATTTCTCCAGGGTTGCTGGTGGGGGGCAAAAAAAGGCTTTTGAAACAATTTTGGCACTTTTCTCACGGTCTAGCATGTACTGACTGTGACATTATTACAGCATACAAAAAAACACACAAAAAAAAATTATTAAGGCAGCATGAAATGATCCCTGACAGACACCCATCCCAGGTTCTATGCAATAGTTAGTTATGAAAAGAAATCTTTTGTGCTTTTCAAAAGTGTTAGAAGGGGCCTCGTGGCTCTATTTGAGCATCTTTGATGATATTGCTTGTGGAAAAAGTAGTTGATAAATTTGGAATTTTATTGTGGATTTATATTAATAGCAGGCTAAATTAAAGTATGGATGGCTCACAGACACAAGATGCACTTAAACTGACTATAGTCACATAAAATTCACTAATAATCACTTATATGAATCTGAATTTGTTCATCATCCATTTGAGAAGGCTTCACATCAACATCAAACCGGATTGTCAAAGTGGAATCTTCCCATTTGTTAAAATAACAGAAAAGTCCCTTTCTCATTAATGTTCTGATGCATGAGAGCAATTTTCCTTGACTCACATTAGACCTACACATTATTCACATAATAATAATAATACAAATTCACTGTTTCATAACCAACTACATAGTTTCATCATAATATACATTTTGTAACTATTATTGGATATTCTTGTTTCGGAGTAAATATATGTATACTGTTATTCAACATCCTAAAAGCCAATTATTTGTTCACTGTAGGTGGCTCAAACAGGAACAGGAATAAAACAAGTCAAGGAAATAGTCTCCTTACTGTGGATCAGTAGCCAAGGCTACTACATACATTCATCTGAGCTCATACAGTTTCTCGCTTTGTATTTGGAAAGTTTATCAAAACATGTAACACCTACAATTGGTAGCACAATCCAATGCCTAGTGCATCTCACACAGACAAGCTCAAATGGTTTAGCAACTGAATCTTTCTATCCACGAATCACATTTTCCAGTGGCAGCAGACCAGATTCATATGGGCAGGATACTAAAAGATCTCTTGCTCAACATCGCCATAATTCTCTCAAATGTCATCACCATTAATGAGCAAGACTGAGAAGGAGAGAGATACATATAAGTGTATAAAATCTAGATCTATCACACTCTCTTTCCAATGCTCAGAGCAAGAATTTAAGCAAATCTGGAATGACACACACAGGAAATGCAAATCGGTTCAACCAAAGTACCCTTTTCCTACGATAACACTCCTAAAACATTACCATCAAAAAAAAAAAAAAAAACTATTTGCCACAATACCATCTAGTCCACACCCAATCTAGAGAGTTGTTTTTAAGGACGTTTTAAGTTTAAACTTCAACTGTTCGTTCCTCACACTGTCTTGTACACTAATCATATTAGAGCTCACTGCCCTGGAAGTGAATATCAAGTTTCTGGACTGCAGGACAGAGAAAACTGACTTTATGGCATTCACTGGACAGTAGAAGGAAAAACAATCAACCTGGATGACTGACAAACCATCAGACGATACGAACAACTGCTCAAGTGTCAGAAAGATCTGTAGTACTATTAAATACTCCATTCATGCAATCACAGACAAACTGACTGGAAAACACTATGATACCAGGAATATACCTATACCTATCACAACTGGAAAAGCCTTTAAATAATATTACGACTTCAAAATCACTCACCATTATTGTACAGATAGTAAAATCCGTTCAAATAGCTGACACAATTGACTTGAACGTGTCTGTAGAAAGTATTTCAGCTTTAACAATAGGTAAAAGCCTTTCTGAAACTCATTTGTGTTACTGCATCGTAGATAGTAAAGTAAGCGATTCTCACAATAACAGCATTATTTATCAATGTGTCAGGGCAGTCTAGCTTAATGAAAATACATAGTAGAATATTTGCTCATGAAACTTCACATATGTGCTATGAAGGTATGAGTTACATTGCCTTGCACAACATACAGTACCACACATTTTAACCCTTGAGTATTTTACGAAGAAGTCCACTTGATATGTTTTTGATGAGTTTTCAGACACAATATATACTTAAATGTATATTGTTCAATAAACATATCCAGAGAGGTTTTGGATGAGACAGATTGGGGCTTTTGTGTTAGACATGGAGTCTCATTCCAGTCAACCCTGAATAAGCAAAAAAAAAAGTAACTTAAGAATGATCTATAGCACAAGGCTAGCCGCTCTGTCGTATTTGTGCTCTCTGCAGATTTCCATCTTCAGTTTAAATGCGGTTAAACAGCTTTCATGGTGAAGTTGAACATAAATGTTAACCACGCCACAGTGCATGCAGGCCAGTGTATTTTGCCAGTAGTTTATAAATATGTGCATAATTACTGGATACCTTCACCAAACCCAACAACGGAAAAAAGAACGAAAGAAAACAGGCCACATAAACTACACATTTTTGGAATCGTAGACATTCAAAGAGCATGTAAACCTAGTCTCTGAAGTGATCTGTTATTTAGAAGGCAGTGTAAACCAAAGCAGTGCATTAATTCCACTGCAAAAAAAAAAAAATCAAAAATGACAAAGTATGGAAGCATACATATTGAATGTCTGGCAACCAGCTATCACACAGTAAATATAATTGTCTTATGTTGTTAGCATTTAGTAAAAAAAGGAAGTAGGAAGTAGGAAGCAGGCACTAAATCTTTTCTCCTTGTTACACTCAAGTTAAATTGCATGTGTGCCTATATTCACAACAATGTTGCTCTTAGTGACACAAGTAAATATTAAAGGTAGCACAACAGATTAATACACAGATCAAGGGTTTTAAACCAGTAACATGATTGTAATTTACATCTTGTGTATGGAGGTGTGTGTGCAGCCTTACTGCACAGTTTGGTATAAGTAACCTCTCTTATAGGCACTCAGTGGATAAAACGTAGTGACCACAAACTTGCCATCAAATGTTCGGCCTGTCAGCAGTCTCTGGGCTTCTTTGGAGTCTCCAGCATTTGCATACTCCACAAACACCTGCCAAGACAAGACGAATGATGAATCTTCAGAACTGGACAAAATATATAGCACATTACACTCTGAATCATTGTCTTTCTATCCACTAGGAGGTGGAATTGACACCTGCTGCGCTATTTTGCTGCTTCTTATGGAAGCCCGTTTCCGCCACTGAATAAAAAATAAAAGAGGTATTTGCGGCTTTTTATATCTCACAAAAAGTCAGAATTGAGAAAAAAAGTCAGAATTGTGAGATATAAACTCGCAATTCTGAGAAATAAAGTCAGAACTGCGAGATATAAACTCGCAATTCTGACTTTTTTTCTCAGAATTGTGAGATATAAACTCACAATTCTGAGAACATATCAGTCTTTTTCCCCCCTCAAAATTGGACTTTAACTCGCAATTGCGAGTTTATATCACGCAATTCTAACTTTATATCTCACAATTCTGAGAAAAAAAGTCAGAATTGCGAGTTTTTATCTCGCAATTGTGACTTTATATCTCGCAATTCTGACTTTATAACTCTCAATTGCGAGTTTATATCTCACAATTCTGTGAAAAAAAGTCAGAATTGTGAGATAAAAAGTTTTTTATATATATATTCAGTGGCGGAAACGAGCTTCCATAGCTTCTGGATCAACAGCATCATGGGAAAATAAATTATTTTTTGTGAGCTTCCAAAAAGGATTTTTCATTTAATTACATTAATATAGTATTTTAAACATATATATAATTGAGTGGTACAATAAAATACAATAAATGGATAAGTCTTTCTATTGCATTCTCTAATACATACATACAGTGTGACCAGTGTTAACTAAAAAAGAATGAACTCTTATGAGTTTCTTTATTTGAATGTGTTCACAGAATGACCCCACTTAATCTGTCTGAATTGTTACCAAATTAACATCAGACTCTCTTACTGAACGTCAAGTTATCATTACTTTTAAATCTTGTCAAAATCTTGTCATTATCAGAGTTCCCACACTTTTGGAACAATAGATTTCCATAGATTTGAGCTGTTTGTGGTTACTAGATAAGGCTATTTTTATAGAGATTATTATTTTACCAGGATAGTACAACTGGGATATAAAATCTCATCTTCCAATTATTAGGTCAAGAGAATATCTAGAATAATTCACATTCACTACTGAAATTCCATTTTCCTCACCTGTCCCTTGCCAGGATTCTCTTTTGGGATCAATAAGGATACAACAGTGCCATACTTCTGACATTCTTCTTTCATGTCCTCTATTATATCTAAGAAAACCAAGAAATAAATGTGACTTTGAGATCTACTAAATAAAACACTATATTTAAAATATATTTACTATAAAGATAATGTAAAGACAAAGACTAACCTTCATAATCATCCTCATTATACAGGTGGTTGTCGTCTATCACGTTTAGTAGTCTCAAGACAGGTGTAGGCAAAAGAACCAAATCTTCAATATGAGGTGCTAAAACCCAAAGCAGTTCCTCACTCACACAGTGTTACACCAAACTGGGCGATGTAGACAATGTTTTTAGATGCAAAGTCATACAAACCAAAGGGAATGCTGAAGAAAGGGTTGATTAATGCTGACTCAGCTGTGCTTCTTAGTTTAGGGTCATTGTGAAGCATACTGGGAAAGTAAAGACATACTGTATATTACTTGTTTTAGTCATGTCTAAAGAACACACTAGTACACCTCTTAGATTACGTCCTACCTTTTGATCAGATCCCGCAAATGAAAAACAGGGATAGCCGGGTAAACCAAAGCATTGCTTGAAAAGATATGGTCTACTACTGCAGAACTGTTATCCTGTAGACACACAACACAATGCCATCTTAGCAAGCATAACAGGTCAAAATAGCATGAGGAACAGTTTAATCAGAGGATATTTTGATGCAAATTCTTATTACACTAAATAACATTCAAGATTTAAGTTCATATTCAGGAAAGAGTACAGCTTCACAGCTGCTTGGGCATCAGCCTGACCTTCCATTCCTGAGACTTCACAGTTTCTTTCAGTTTGATTCCTGAGAACATCTCCAGAAGAATAATTCCCAGACTCCACAGGTCCACAGCAGTTGTGCAGCCAGAGTCGCTCTCCAGACCTGCCTGGGCCAGGGAGTTCTGCAGCTCGGCTTCAGGTGCCCGGTATCCATCTGTCTGGATGTATTTCACATCCTGTAAGGAACAGACAAGAACCCTTAGTCAGACAAGACAAGAACCTCACTTCCAACCTATATCTGAATACTGAGGAACATTAATACTACACTACCATTTAAAAGTTCGAGGTCAGTACGTCTTTTTTTTTTTTTTAAGTCCATCTAACGCAGTATTTTGCCTTACCTAAAAGAAACCACCTAAGGTTCTTTGCTGGTTTAAGTGGGTTTCTCAACCTGGCCAAGTTGGAGTTTAGCTGGTCAGCAAGTTGGTTTCCCAGTCTGACCAAGTGGACAGGCAGAGGAATTTATACACAATGCCATTTTAAACAACTGCAAAAGCATAACAGATTATGTTTCATTTAATAATGTAACCCAAATGTGATAGTAATTCTTAAATGTTTTTGTTGAGCAGAAACAAATGTTGCTAAGAAATATTGCACAACAAAACATAATGAATGATGCAATGTCTTCTCCACCTAATTGGACCCCAGAGAACCATCCTTAGACAAATCATGACCCCCAAGAGATAAGAAATCAACAACTCAGGATTTCTGTCCAGAGCCTGTTTAAAGCCACTCTGTTATTTTAAAAACATAACAAATTTGAATAAACATTGTTTTGTACCAGTACTCCATTTTGGGCGAGGATGCTTCTAAACGGATTGAAAACATCTGGTTATGGTTAGATTTGATGTAATTGCTTTACTGAAGTCATGTTGAGCATCAGCATCACATCATCTTTAATCAGACTATATTACTATGATACCCAATGATTTTTGTGTTTTGTTTTATGTTTTATGTTATCTTTGTTCAATTCATTTTTTTAATAATTTAATTTTTAATATTGTTTTAACACTTCATTTTTTTAAATTCACATAAGTCATATTTTAGCATATTCAAGACTGGGCGTGGGTGATGAAACATCAAGCATAACAGTAATTTATGTTAGATAAAGCGGGCCTCATAAAAGTTGATGATAATTGCCCTTGTTATCTGCAAATAATTAAACGCAAACTGTTGCTTAAGAATCCAGACCATTTATACCCACAGCATCCATGTCTTTTCTCAGCATTGTTGAGTAAGTTTCATTTGTACATTATGTAGCATATTTCACATTAAGGACTCATGTAATGGGAGCAGTGACCTATTCCTTGAATTGTATGACATAGTTAGTATTAACACCTGTATGCTAAAGTGACCTAACCTCCCATCATTCCACACAGGCCTGCGTTGTATATCAGAGAACAAAGTGGCCGTTCTTCTATTGGCTGGAGGTCAAGGGACACGACTGGGTGTATCATATCCAAAAGGCATGTATGATGTGGGCCTCCCCTCTCGCAAAACCCTCTTTCAGATCCAGGCGGAACGCATCAGAAAACTGGAACAGCTCGCTGAAAAACAGCACACAAGGAAGTGCTGTATTCCATGGTAAGATGATCATTAAGCATAATTTAAGTATATCCTGTTACAGTGCACTTATATTTGAAGCCGTAGACAACCCTTTTCAAATTTCCAAGGAAGTAGTTTGAGTCAATGATTGTTGAATCTAATTACTTGGATTACCAGACTTGTTTTGATCTTGAGGAAGTTTCTCCCCACTTACCATAATGCAAGTGACCTCGTTACATGGTTTAGGTTGACATAACACCAGCATGTCGTCCTGAGCAGCTAGGTCAGACCTCAAGAGAAAAATAATTTAAGAGCCGATCTCTACCCAGCAGAATTGACCTCTGATACATGACACATGATGCCCTAAAGATCAGCTCTAATCTTAGCACATTATTTAAAGACATTATTTATAATACTGTGCCACTGTATGATCGCCATAGTCATATGACAATGTACTTTAAAGAACACCATAATATCACCATCATTTTAGCATCTAAAATTTACTGTGTCAAGACAAAAATGCTAATACCATCATACTTTTTTTATTTTTTTTATTTTTTTTTTATAAGTAATTTACCTCAGGCCTTGTGTGTGTGTGTGTGTGTGTGTGTGTGTGTGTGTGTGTGTGTGTGTGTGTGTGTGTGTGTTTTTAATAAGTTAAACAAAAGTGACAGTAAAAACTTTATTTATAAAATTATGTTTCAAATAAATGCTGTTCTTATGAACTTTGTATTCATGAAAGCATCCTAAAAAAAAAAGATGTATCATGATTTCCACAAAAATATAACACAGCACAACTGTTTTCAACTGTGATAAGAATTGATTCTTGAGCACCAAATCAGCATATTAAAAATTATTTCTAATCATGTGACACTGAAGACTGGAGTAGTGGCTGCTGAAAATTCAGCTTTGTAATCACAGGAATAAATTACATTTTAAAATATTAAAATATATCAAATAAATGCATCCTTGGTGAGCAAGACTCCTTACAAATACAATAAACTTTTTAAACAGTAGTGTGCATTAAGCTAAGATTCTGTCAAGAGATTGGTCTTGCAATGACATGATCAATGTTTTGATTGATCAGGTACATTATGACAAGTGGCAGAACAATGGACATGACCAAAGAGTTCTTCATACGACACAAATACTTCGGCCTGAAGGAAGAGAATGTGTTTTTCTTTCAGCAAGGCATGCTTCCCGCTGTGGACTTTAATGGGAAAATTATTCTAGAGGGCAAAGGCAAACTGGCCATGGCACCAGGTATGTTTTTAAAGCAAGGTTAGTATCTTTAGTTGTATAGACAACTTCAAGCAACCTCACATATGAGGTATGGCTGAAAAAAATGTACAGCATGTTGCTGAATGAAACATTAAAGCCTCTTCAAGTAATCTGAACCACAGACCTTACTTTACTCATTAGTCAAAAAAGACTTTGCTAAAAACCCATTAGAAATTTCCCAAAGAAACTCCAGGTTAAGTAGGCTTACAGTTAGCCAACAACGTAATATCATGACCGAAAAGCTTGCTAAGATTCATAATTCGAAATACCCAAGTGAATATTCAGCACTTATATTTTCTGTTAATCTTCTTATTCAGATGGAAACGGGGGCCTGTACAGAGCTCTGGGGACACCGAACATTATGAAGGACATGGAGACAAGAGGAATCTCCTGCATCCACGTCTACTGCGTAGACAACATTCTTGTGAAAGTGGCTGACCCTGCTTTCATTGGTTTCTGTACACTGAAAGGAGCCGATTGTGGTGCAAAGGTCAGTCCTTAACATATCCAGCCCTGCCCTTGCAGGTATTTCCTCTTTTATACATAATGCAAAAATCTTTATGCAAATACAGTTCTATTACGAATGCACCGCAAATCAATTTTGTTTTTTGTTTTTAATCTGTGTTTGTGGTCAATTCCCTGGCTTGGCTATTTTCTAGTAATTTACTGTAGAATTAAGTTCCTTGTCACACATTTCAAACAAAACTTGTTTTGTTAGTCCACTAGATGGAGCATCTGCTCCATATATACAGGAATTTACACTTGTTTGGGGTCCTTTTTTTTTTTTAAGAAATTAAATGAAATTTTATTTGGCAAGGACACATTAAATTGATCAAAAGTGACAGTAACAACATAATATTACATAAGATTTCTATATCAAATAAATGCTGTTCTTTTGAACTTTCTATTCATCAAAGAATCATAAAAAAAAATCATGGTTTCCACAAAAATTCAGCACAACTGATTTTAACATTGATAATAATAAGGAATGTTTCTTGGGCACCAAATCAGAATATTAGAAGCATTTCTTAAGGATCATGTGACACTGGAGACTGGAGGGAATGACTGCTAAAAATGTAGGATTTTGCCAGGAATAAATTATATTTTAAAATAGTTACTGTAAATTGTAATGTATTTCACAATATTACTGTTTTTACTGTATTTTTGATCAATAAATAATAATAATAATAATAATAATAAAAAAAAAACTTAGACCACAAACTTTTGATACTTTTTGATGATTGTTAAAATTGTTGTTTAATGATATTTACGTTAGGAATGATTTGATGGGACCCTGCACTTAGCAGCACCTTCAAACAGCAATTTATTTTGGTTCCTTGGAGTGTAATTTCAGGTAACTTGTTCACATATGCTTTTGCAGATGGCAAACAACAACCGCAAAAAAGGGGAAAATACTTTTACAAGGAACAGTGGTTATTCTGGACATTTTAAATGGTCTCCAGTCAGGAGCTAAATTGCCTTTAAAACTCTTATATAACCAGCCTTGTGATGCAGGATACCAATTAATTTAGCCATTATTCTCAGTGTAGCCTCACAGTTTTTGGCGTATTTTAATGGTTATTATGATGAAGTGAAGTGAAGTGACGTGACATGTGGCCAAGTATGGTGACCCATACTCGGAATTAGTGCTCTGCATTTACCCATCCTAAGTGCACACACACAGCAGTGAACACACACAAACCGTGAACACACACCCGGAGCAGTGGGCAGCCTTTTATGCTGCGGCGCCCGGGGAGCAGTTGGGGGTTCGGTGCCTTGCTCAAGGGCACCTCAGTCGTGGTATTGAAGGTGGGAGAGAGCGCTGTACATTCACTCCCCCCACCTACAATCCCTGCCGGTACGAGACTCGAACCCACAACCTTTGGGTTATGAGTCCGACTCTCTAACCATTAGGCCACGACTTTCCCTTGATGCAATGGAAACCAGATTGCTAGGTTGAAGCTGCTCTCATGCATTCCCGTTTACATGATCAGGAATGAAGATGTTTGTAACAATACAGATATATCCAATACAAAATGCTAAATATGCATCTGTGACTATTATTATGAAAAGATTCACAGTAGGTGTGTTCCTGTGAACCATTTACAAAAGAGTGAAACTCAACATGTTTTTCTTGTGTGACCGGTTAGTGACGTAATGACTATAGTATTTTAAGGAATCTGGAAGTGCTTGTTTCATGGACAAATATTTCTGTCTTATCTCATTTTTGACAAAAGTGTTCTGCTCTGATTCTGATTCTTTCTCTCTGTTCTTTCTTAATGGGATTTATTTTAATGATTAGTTATTTCGAACAATTGGAAGTGAGGGATTGATTTTGTAATTCACAGTATGAAAAAAATGCCTTAAATGCATCCTTTGAGTCTCAAACTGAATCATTAGCATACGATATGTGATTCATGAAAGTATTTGCATGGGATATTTAGTTCAGACATAAATACTCAACAGCTGGTTTTGAATACTGAGCTCTCAGAAGCTGCTAGCAGTTAAACAGTTCCTGCGTGCCAGGGGGACGATGGTAAGAAAATTTGAACCCACCCACCCCTCATAATTTCTGAAGCATGGATTTAAAGTGGCTTTTGCTCGAAGCCTCCCCCAGTGCAAACCCATCATCAACCGAGAAGTTTGTAATTTGTTACTCAGATGAATGGAAAGGGTTTTCTGCTTTTGCCTCTGCTGTAATTTAGCACAGACCTCAGGCAAACACGGCACACAGGAGTGTGTGGCCCATTCAAACAGCAGCTAGTTTAGTACTTACACAGAAATGACATTACAGTATTGGTAGATTTGTCTTTCAACCTAAATTCCTTTAAATGTTAAAAAGACATCTTTAACAAATGGTTTTAGTCTTGGGCTAAGTACTTCAAGTTGTGTATACAAGGTGTCGTATTGGACATACTAGATTAACTCATGGACATTTATTGATTGGTGACCCAGAAAACTTTTACAGACCCAGAAAAAATTTACAATTTCTTTCAAAAGTAAATTTAAAGTACTTTGTTTTATAATTGTTTTTATTGATTTATGTTTATTGTATTTTGTATTGTGTTCTACTATATTTCTAATGTATAATCTTTGCCATGAAATAGCCTGTGAAGCTGATGTGGCAATAAAATTAAACTGAAACTGGGCTTTGTACTTAAAATTATGACAAATTGTCAGCTGACATGTGATACAATCTTTATGACAACTGATAAACACAAGCTAAATTTAATTTAATCATTAACAAGAATTTACAGGGTTTGTTACGGTAAATTGTTCTTGTTTTTTTTAGATCTATTGTGTAATTTTGGCTGATTCAACTATTGCCATATATAGGGCTAGGATAGAAAATATAGAAAAGAATCACCCCCTTTAAAATAATCGTATTTTGTTGCTTTGCAGCCTGAAATGAAGATGGACACAGTTTTTGTTTTATCCAGCTGTATTTACTCAATGCAACTTATAACATCCAAGTGAAAGATAACGCCAACAGGTCAGAAAGAAAAAAAAAACTGAATCGCTTGTTGGATCACATCACATCTTTTGAACCACCTTTTGCTTTAATTACAGCCTTTAGTCTATTGGGATGTGTCTCTAGTAACTTTGCACATCTAGACTTTGCCATATTTGCCCACTCTTCTTTGCAGAACTGCTCAAGTTCAGTTAAACTTGATGATGACTGTTTGTGAACTGGAGTAGATTTAGTCTGGGCTCTGACTAGGCCATGCGAGCACATTCACCTTTTTCTCCTTTAACCACTGTGTGCTTTGGGTCATTGTCATGTTCCCATTGACAACTTTCTGGCAGATGGCAGCAGATTTTTCTCAAGTATTTGATGGTATTTTCATTTTGCCCTGTCCATTTGCCCTTCTATCCTGACAAGTGCTCCAGCCCCTGCTGCAGAGGAACACCCTCAGAACAGGATATTACTACCGCTGTGCTTTACTGTAGGAATAGTGTTATTTGGATGGTGAGCTGTATTGGATTTCCGCCAGACATATCGTTTGGTGTTGAGGCCAAATAATTCCATTTTAGTCTCATCTGCCTCACAATCTTTAAGATTGTTTTGGCAAAGCTCAGTCGTGACTGCATGTGGTCTTTCTTGAGAAGTGGCTTTTTTCTTGCAACCCTCTCATACAAGCCACATTTGTGGAGAATTTGTGATATTGTCACATGCACACAATGACCACTCATTGTCATAAATTCCTCCATCTGCTTCAGAGTTGCTGTAGGCATCTTGGTAGCCTCTCTTTCATTCAGTTTGGAGTGACGTCCTGATCCAGGGAGGGTCTGTGTTGTAACAAATACCTTCCACTTCCTAATAATAGACTTCACTGTGCTTCTAGGCATTGATAAAGCCGTTGAATTTTTTTGTATCCATCTCCTGACTTGTGCCTGTCCACATCTTTTGACAGTGTCTTGTCACCCATAGTTGATTGTTTGCTTCAGTTGCAAATACCTTCCACTTCCTAATTATAGACTTCACTGTGCTTCTAGGCATTGATAAAGCCGTTTAATTTTTTTGTATCCATCTCCTGACTTGTGCCTGTCCACATCTTTTGACAGTGTCTTGTCACCCATAGTTGATTGTTTGCTTCAGTTGCACTACTAAGAACTGAAATACTCCAGGAAAGCTCTTTTCATGCTGAGCTAATCAAAATGACCACAGCTGATCAGAGTTGAAAGTTAAATGGCTTTGTGTGCAATTGAGAAGGTAATTAGCTACATCTGATTGAGTTTACAAGTAATTTTTAGGAGGGGGTGAACCTTTTTCCAACTCGGTGATTGTTTTGTTTTTTGTTTTTTTCTGACATGTTGGTGTTATATCTTTCACTTGGATGTTATAAGTTGCATTCAGTAAAGACAGCTGGATAAATCAAAAACTGTGTCCGTCTTCATTTCAGACTGCAATGCAACAAAATGTGATTATTTTAAATAATTGTGAAGGTGATGAAGGTGATTATTTTCTATGCCCACTGTATATAATCACGTTACATTACAACTGATAAAAATAAATGTCTATAAAAATAAATCACAATAAATAATTATCTAAGAAGAGAATTTAGGAATCAAATCATAATGTTACACTACCTTTCAAAAGTTTGTGATCGGTAAGTTTATTTTTATTTATTTTTTTGTATTCTTACACTCACCCAGGCTCATTTTATTTGATCATAAATGCAGTAAAATCATTAATTAATTATAAAATAAAAAATTTTTTTTTTTTTTTGTAATTTATTCCTGTGATGGCCAAGCTGAATTTTCAGCAGCCATTGCTCCAGTCTTCAGTGTCACATGGTCCTTCAGAAATCATTCTAATATGCTGATTCGGTATTCAAGTATGGTATCCTGAAATTATCACAGTTGAAAATAGTTGTGCTACAGATTACTTTAAGCACAAGATGATCTAAAAAAAAAAAGGTATTGCATGTGCAGGAAGGTATTGAATACATTGATACTGACAAAAATGAAATGCATTCATGTTGTGCTGTTTCCAAACATTTATCTACTGATTCTGGCAGGTTGTGGAGAAGACCAATCCAACAGAGGCAGTGGGTGTGGTCTGTAAGGTGGATGGGCGTTATCAAGTAGTGGAGTACAGTGAGATTACCTTGGAAACGGCAGAGAAGCGAAGTGCAGATGGACGACTTCTGTTCAATGCCGGCAACATAGCTAATCACTTCTTCACTCTCACATTCCTCAAAGAGATCGTGAGGTTAGTCAATCCTCAGAGAGTGCTTTATGTATTGTATGAGTCAGCTGTTAATGGCAGAGTAATTTTTAATTCATATTTTTAATTTCTTTTTGGCAATGTAGGTTAATTTTTGATTACTCATTTATGAATCACAGCTTTAGGAGCAATTTGATGATATTTTGTCGCTAGGCAATGACCTCCGTAACATATATTAAACAGTACAGCTATTTATATGAGCTATTTCCAATGAGGTTTGCCTTGTAAATACTAGACAGGATGGAGCTGACTTTAATGTGCACTGAGAATGAGGTAAAGTCAGAAGAGGAACATCTGCAGTTTTTGAGTGTCTGGTATTTTAAACACAGATGGCTTTGCCAGACGTGTTCTCTTATTGTCATTTTTCTGAAATTTTAACTGAAAGAACATGCTTCACTTTTCTATCCGTTACTGTCTGCCTGTCCATCGCTCTGTCTTTATATCTCTATATCTTACTTTTAGGATTCACGAGCCTCAGTTGCAACACCATGTGGCACAGAAGAAAATTCCCTATGTGAACACAAAAGGACAGCTAATCAAACCTGACAAGCCCAATGGGATTAAGATGGAAAAATTTGTCTTTGACATATTCCAGTTTGCCAAGTTAGTGTCAGGAAATTTTTTTTCACTTCCAGCTATTTATTTATTTATTTTTTTTCTTATTTTATTTTATTTGGATTCTAATTAAACTTTTAAATTGTAACTATTATTTGAAAATCTTATACTCTGCTGTTTTTTGCTTTTCTTTTAAACTTTTCTTTGGCATAAGTATTGCTTCAGGCATGTTCAATTAGTTCTAAGTTATTGAAACTTGTTTTGTGTATGGCAGAACGTTTGTGGTATATGAAGTTCTGAGAGAAGACGAGTTTTCTCCGTTGAAAAATGCAGACAGTCAGGATGGGAAGGACAACCCCACGACAGCCCGTCAAGCTCTCATGTCCCTGCATCACCGCTGGATCTTAAATGCAGGAGGACATTTCGTTGATGAGAATGGAATGCGTATACCTGCTATACCTAGGTGAGACGTGCACTCAAGAATGAAAATTCTGTCATTATTTACTCACCCTTGTGCTTTCCCAAAGCTGTATGGTATTATTCTCTCCATGGAACACAAAATGAGAATTTTTAAAGAATTGTCACACAGCTATTGCCTGTATGAAGGATTATTTCAGTTTATTTTTCATTTCATTTTTTATAATTCTATTAATAATGTTTTATTTATTTGTTTGTTTGTTTGTTAGTTTAGTCATTTTTGGATCTTGACAGCAATTATGTCATTGTCTGTGAAAATTCTCATTTTGTGTTCTACTGCAAAAATACTTGCAGACAGGTTTGGACCAACATAAAGGTGAGTAAATGATAACAGAATTTTCATTTCTTGCTGAAATATCTCTTTAAACCCAAATTGTTGTGACTCTTGCATCGTTGTATTAGGGCTGGACAATAATTAAATATCAATATGTATCGCGATATAATTTTTTTCAATAACGGTGATATAATTTTTAAACACATTTCCGATATTTCGATATACATTACCAGTGTTTCCCATACATTGATTTATTTGTGGCGTTTGACTTCGTTGAATAAACATGAGCGCTGCACGTTTCAAAATCAAAACGCGTCGCGGGTGTTTTATATGAATGTATCTCTGAAGGGAACCGACTGTCTTCCGAATAGTTTAGATGGCATTTTTATCTGATAAAGTAGTGTTCATGAGCGGAGCTGCTTTGTTTACAGCCGTTACTGGAGAAACCGTTAGTTCCACCGCTTTCACAGCGCCTCCTGCTGGCAGACAAGCAGTTTGCATTTTCAATAATAAACCCATTTCCAGCAACATGCTTTTGTTGTTGCTCT